CCCTAGGTGCTCTAAGCTTTCACCAATGGATGGGTGATTCAGCTCCATTTCATCCCAGGTCTATCAAATTCCTGTTCCCTGTGCTGCTGCTGGAGTTTATCCAAATCAAGCAGGACTCAGCACATCTCCTCTTGTCCTGGGTTCAGCTATAGCAGTCATTTTTTCTCCTTCTTAGTAGCTGGTGCAGTGCTGTGGTTTTGACTTTCAGTCTGGGAACAATGCTGATAACACCGAAGTTTTTAGTTGTTGCTAAGTAATGTTTACCCTGACCTAGGACTTTCTCAGTCTCATGCTCTGCCAGGGAGGAGGGGAAGCCAGGAGGAAGCAGAGACAGGACACCTGACCCAAACTGGCCAAAGGGCTATTCCACACCACAGCACGTCATGCCCAGTATAGAAACTGGGGGGAGTCACCCGGAAGGCCCAGATTGCTGCTCGGGTCGGGCTGGGTATCGGTCGGCGGGTGGTGAGCGGTTGTGTCCTCTCCCCTTGTTATTTCCCTTATCATTATTGTTGGTAGCAGTAGTGGTTTGTATTATACCTTAGTTACTGGAGAGCTGGCATTTCATTCTTTCCATTCTCTTCCTGATCCCTGTGGGAGCAGGAGGAGGAAGTAAGGGGGAGGAGTGAGCGAGAGGCTGCGTGGTTCTGAGTTACTGGCTGGGCTTAAACCATGACACCTCTGAACCAAATGGGGGTTGAATGAAAGGATGGTTAAGGAAAATGGAATTGAGTTTTCTTGAACCTGGGGTGATTTTTAGGACATTTTCCGGTTTCCTTCTCTGATGTTTTGGTGGTAGGCACTGAAGGCACCAAAAGCAAGTCAGACTGGCACAGGTTGGTAAACACTTGTGCTGCACCTGATTGAATAGTCTGTTCTGCAGTAACACTTTGAGAGAGAAGTCATGGGTTTTGCATGGAAAATTTCTTCCTGAGCTCAGATGATATCTTTGCGTAGTTTATGCCTATGGTAACTGGTTCAGTAGTCCTTGCAATTTGTATGCTAATTAGTGGAAGTGAAAAGGCTACTTCTGTTCATTTTAGATATCTATTGAATAATTTTATTTTTTTTTCCAATTAAACTACTCTGGAATATCTAAGACTATGATGCAGAGGCCAACAAGTCTAGGCTTGGGAAAGATAAAGACAGGAGTGTCCTTCCTTCACAGCTCACACACTGCCTTTACAGAAGATACACTACTACTGTAGAAGGTACGTTCCTCTCCCTAGGGGTCTAGGGAATCAGATAGCAAACCAATTAGTAGAGGACAAGGCACTGTGTTTCCCACAACGCTCAAAGATACTCTTACCATTGGAAAAGTCCTTGAGAATGCAAAAAAGGGATTTTTCCACCTTTAAATCGTAGAATCATAGAATGGTTTGGGTTGGAAAGGACCTTAAGGTCATCTAGCTCCAACCCCTCTCCCATGGGCAGGGTTGCCTCACACTAGACGGCATCATTGTCACTCCCCCTTTCCCCCTCAAACTGGATACTGCTGTCCTGTCACCTTTCTTCACCTTTGCATGTACTGAGATGGTTGTAAATTCGTAAGACAGATGTCATAAAACAACTGTGCTAACTTGCTGTAATGCAATCAAGGGTAAGCTTATCCATGGCTGCACTCTCAAATCTGATCAAATTGCTTCGCATCCTGACGTTGTTATTGACTCATAAAGAAAGGGGGTCTGTTTCTGGGGGCTCTTTTCAGGGCTGAGTCTCCTCCAGTGGAGCAGCAAACTGGGGAGGAGATCACAACTGGAGCAGCAGCTGGTGACTGCTATGAGAAGGTTAAGAGACACAAGACAATAGAGGTATAAGAAAGCCCTCATTGCTCAGAGACCAAAATGGATCAACCTCTGGGACGAATGCTATTAGAGGAGAGAGTCTGGGACCTGCTGAAAGGCTCATCTGTATACAGGATAACAAAACTGTCTTGCAGATTTGGCATGCAGATAGATGACTTACAGCACCGAAAACAGCAGCTGCCTCTAGCTCAGCATGTGCAGTTTCCATTCCCTGCTCTGCAAACCTGGACTGATGCTGTGAACCAGAATTCCACCCTCTGGCCCCAGGTCTCCTGCAGATACAGCACAGCTGTGTTTCCACAAGGAAAGTTAGATGTTCCTTGTTATTGTAACATTGCTGGCTTAAAAACAAGGGGAAGTGTTCCTAGCTGCTAATTGTCACGGGATGGAATTTCAGTGTGGATGCCTGTGCTGTCAGGGGGAGAGGTCCTGGGGGACAATATCTGGTGCAGCTAAGGAAGGGGGCCCTCACCTTGGTTGCAAACAGCCGAGATGTTCCCCAGGCACCAGCAGTGGGAGGTGCCCATGAGCAGAAGTTTACTGTATGAGGTGGCAAGACCTCGACACTTGTTCCAGTGAGGAAGGCAATGGCCTTGGCCTGTTTGGAGGGGAGTGAAAGTGTGAAAACCTGCACTAATGATGGGGAGAAAGACTGAGGTGATAGAATGAAGGTCAGAGGAGAAAATGTGATCTTGGGGCAGTTTTAAGCAGAACAGCGAAAATACTGGGTGTTTTTGTTTAGCAGAACCAAAAAGAAGGAATAAAAGTTCCCAACAGCTGTACAGGGTGTTAAACCTTATTTTTTTCTTTTGGTTTGTATTTTCTGATGCTTTGTTTTTGTTGGTCATTGCTTCTGGAAAAAAACACTCTGTCTGTCTCCTTCCTCTTCCATTTCATCAAGGATTATCTGAGGGTTATTTCAGACTGATTTCTTCCAAGACATTTCTCTATATTTTAATAAAAAAATTGAATTTGAAGAGAGAAGTTACACTTTTTCATTTTGAAAATGCTGGAAGGATACTGTGTTGCTCTTCCTCTATTTCCATTGTTTCGGTGCAAACTGCTTTTCAAATTTGATGTGAAATGCGTCTCAAGCAGATTTATATTCAGGCAAATTTATTACTTACCAAGAAATGTCACCAGCCTCCAGGTTTGTATCCTCTGGGCAAGTGGGAGTTTGCTGTGACTCCCAGGAAAGGCAAAGCAAATGTGGTTATGTGAAACAAGGACTCCTTTTGCTTTGCCTGA